GGCCTTCTAGCTGGCTTCTGCGAGCACGGTCCAGGAGTCGTCCGCTGATTTGAGATAACCCATCTTTCCTGGTTCGTAATTGCATTTGTCTTGAGAGGGGGCCGTTCTACACTGATCCCTGCACGTCACTCTCATAATATGAGTGGCTGATTTATCCATATTTCTTCATCTCGTGTTGTACACTTGACCACGCGCATATGGGCGAACCTCTTAGACGTAGTATTGGAATGCGATTCATACTGCGTTTGGTCCGCTGGCACTCCACACTGCAACTCTGGAGCTAGGTGTGTGCATTGTTGGGGCCATATGCAACTCGAGCCGAGGTTACCGATATTCGATATGGGAAGATGGAGCAAGCGCCTATACGGCCATACGCGACGGCCGATCGATCCAACAAGATCAATAGATCCTGCTGCTGAATCCTGAATCCTATGCATCCCACGCATAACGATATCTGTAATGCTATATGTCATCGGGTATTACTAGGGGCGGCCTTGTTACCCATGCGCCAACGCCAGACGTTCACCCGTAAGAGTAGTTCTGTGTAGTGTACCCAGGCTGCTCCACATCCCGATGGCGCGTACCCGATGAGCCACGCACGACTGCATTGACACGAACGACCGAGCCAATACCATGGCTAGCCTGGCAGTGAGGGTGTAGTAGTCCTAGCGAAGGTGGAGTGTTCACCCTTTACGATCACGTCGATCCAATCTTTGTTGCTACATCCTGCCATTGCCAACCAAGCCTATAGAGAAGTTTGCTACTTGGCGAAAGTATTGTTGAGTCACTTCTGAAGGATGAGATGATTAGGATACCAAAATCTAAAGGTGATCGTAGTTCATGATACCACCAGTCAAGCAGTCAAACGGACCAGAATATAATGTCAATTCACCAAGCGTCACACATCAAAGAGCCACATACAAGGAGCGACACTTTTATTTCCAATCCCTTCATTACGATCCCTCTAGCAGCGTTACATACAAACGAGCGACAGCGCGACCATCATCGCAAAAGACACGACAATCGTTAGTGTGCAGCATCCTACACTCCTTCATGCAGCAAGCCATCGCCCTTGCCTAAGCCTCATTCAACACAGCCACTCGCAGCCATGATGCATCCAGCTTTGGCGACTTCGGCCTCAGCTGCCCCGCCGTATTTGCCGTAGTTTGAGTAGGGGCTAGGAGGGGAGGTACCGTGTCAGCATTAATCCTTTGTATAAAGACGAGCATGACCGCAATGAAGAAAGCTTGAGATAACGTTGAAAGTCCAGGGAAGAGCGACGTCGAAAGAAGAAAGAAAGAGGAGAAGAAGCTTACATATAAGACTGGTACCAAGAGTCCCCTGCAGCCTGGACCTCCTTGGGCTCGTCACGCCTTTCGCTGCTGGCCATGGTGTCCATCATATCCTTGGGCATATCCACAATATGGCGCTTCTCCATCTTGGCGTTCATCTTCGCAGCTTCGGCTTCTACAGAAGCAGGGTACGGATTGTAATTCTCGTAGTAAACGCCGTAGCTCTCGTACTTGTCGTACTTATCGTACACCTCTTGTTTGGACAAGGGTTCGTCGCGCTTCATGTTCGTGGCTGCTGATTCTACAGGACTGTTAGGAGCGCTTTTATTGGGGAAGTTGGGGGGCGAGAGAACGTACCTTGCTGCATCTTCGCTGCCTCCGCTTCGGCCGGTGAAGAATAATCTCCGTACTGATAGTACGGGCGGTAGCCGGCGTATTCCTTGTAGTTGATATCTTGGGCTTGATTCGCGGAGTCGTCACCCCTCTTATCGAGTGGCATAGCTGCCGTAAGGGCGGCGAGACCCACGAGGACCAGTTCGAGATGCATGGCAGGGAATGATCGGCCGTGAGACAGCGGAGACTTTCAAGGATGTCGAGGAAGTAACCTTGAGGGAAGACTGTTGTGGTGATTTCCCAGTTTCGCCACGGGAGTCACCTTTTTGTACATGTCGGCTTGCAGTGCCTATGGAGTACAACCTCATTACAGAGGCCAACTGTAGTGAGCATGGCGTAAGGTTGCATCCGCATGCGCGTAATATTGTGTCTGCTCGCATTGACTGCAAGCATCGGGGAAGCATGCACCACGTAACTCGCGCAGGTGCAATGAAGTCGCTGCTGTAGGTTGTGCAAAGACAACATCGGTAAAGTGATATTGGTCCGAAGTTTTGGGAAGACGTAGTTCAGATGCGCTCAACAATGTACACCGCCTTCAAGTGAAGCAAGCAAAACGTACTCTTCCGGTAATAACGCCTACTGGTTGATGAGTGAAGATTGCAGGACAGATGTAGCTGTGCGTCGTTGCTATGGAGTCAGCGTCATGTGTCCCAATTAAGTCGTGATAGCTAGTCCGGCATACATGTTTGCTTATTGTGACCCCAATTCGGTGTGAACGCAGAGCGCGTCTCCATAGCAGTAAGGCGGAGTAAGTCATTCGGTCAAGCTATGGTAGCGTTGGGATACCTTTACGCAGGTTCTTCAATAGTACGGTACGATCGTGACCAGTACGGCGATTGATGCCTCAATGAAAGAAGGTCGGATACTGTTAGTGGGAATCCCAAAGATATGATAGGGTGCGGTGCTGCTAGCGGAGTGATATATGTTGCCTTTCACATCGCACGACTAACGTGTTTGACATGTCTGACGCCCATCACAGTGTCACTGCTTGTCCTACACGGCTGGCTAAGTCGTACTGATGTCCAATTCGTACCGAAAGTCGTACGTGGAAGATTATAGGGATAGACGGTGTTGAGGCCCAGTCGTCTGGTAAAGCGACTTGGAGGGACTCGCATCCCTTGCTGCGATAGCAGGCCTGTCGCGATTTCCTTGCTACTCTCTCATCGTCGACCAGTTTCCGATCTTAGGACGCGTTTATCTGAACTGCAAGCTCGTCATGTTCGACATCCTCCGCAATCGTCCTCGACACGAGCGGTTACTCCAACACGACTCCGAGTGCCATGAAGACGACGACACTCTTTTGCCTGGCTCTTCTTCGTCGACCTTACTGACGCTTAAATCACCAGCGTTCGAAGGATCGAGCCGCGATGTGCGAGTCGCAGTGAGGACCCTCATAGCATGTACCATCGTATACGTTGGTGCTGCTTTGTGGATAGCCTTCACCGTGAACAGGTCAGCTTTGATCTCTGATCCAGACGACTTTTGTATCCATCATGTTTCGCGATACTGTATGTAATGGACTCGCGAAGGACCCATGTCCTTACTGATGGCAACAGCACCGGTCATCCGAGATGTGAAACCAAATTGGCATACGCAGTTGTTCAACGGTAGCTTTCTCCATCAGAACATCTATCGCCAATCAGCAGGACCAGAAGTTGATGCGGCATGGGATGCACTGGGTGTCAATTGTAAGTCGATTGTCTAGCAGTACCAGCAACGCGCACACTCAGTTCTGATTCCCATACTAGATCGGAGTGTTGTGATACCCGAGGACGAAGCTGAGCGAACCGGGTTGCGACACGACCAGGTGAAAGTCAGCCAAGAGTATGGAGGTGGCTTCCCAGCGAACGTAGAAGGCCTCCATCACTTGCACTGTCTGGTATGCAGCAAGATCAGGTAGCGGACAGTACATCACTAACGTTTCGAAGGACCTTCTCCGTAAAACCCTATATTGGAACTATTCCTATTATTCGGCAAAGAAGGAAGGACCCTTCGTCAATAGCGAGTACATCGTGCGAGTACACACGACGCACTGCTTGGATATAGTAAGGCAGGTGCTCATGTGTAATCCAGACGTAGGTGTACTTGGTCAAGTGTGGTGGCAGGCCGACACTATGCCAGACCCGACGCCATTCGTGGACTTCAACACAAGGCACCGATGCCGAGACTATGAGCAGGTTCGAGAGTGGGCGGAGGCGCACCAGCTCCCACCAGAGACGGAGGTGAACATGAGCCGTTTCTACGAGATGCCGAAGCCGGGAGATTTCATCTTCCCTGAGATCCCATGAGGGTCGTGGACGCTGAGTATGTCAGTGGACGTAGCTGAGAAATGTTCGGTCCTTCGTAGCAGTATGAAATATCTCGCACGTGTCCTTTCCGTGACAGCCTGTGCAATATGCGCTGCGGTGGTAGATGTGTGCGACAACTGGCGCAAGGCCTTGTTCAGTTCTGGCGAGGCTTAACGACGCCATCGTGCACAATGTAGTACACGACTGTGCTGTCCGTGTCTACCGACGCTAATAGTACGCGCTTGGTTGTTCTCCATGGGTTGGTAGGGCGGTCCCCCTCTACTGTCGACGCGTCTGCCGGCGACGGGACCATAGTGATGGCGTCGAAGACCTGGGCTAGCCGACGCAGCGTCCACTTCTCGTTCAGCCTGGTGGGCAGTATCCATTCGCGCTCCGGCTCTGCCTTGACCTCCAAGCCACCTGCCTCGCCCTCGGCGCGCGCCTTCCGTTCGCGGTCGGCCTTCTTCAGCAGCTCCACCTGCTCGTCGGGGTGTACGTAGAGGCGGCGCGGGGGCAGCCCAGAGACCAGCGGGCGGGGAAGGGGCTCGTGGGTAGTCGGTGAGTGCGTGTGTACGTGGAGGTCGGACCAATAGTGCTGGTACTGGAGGTTGTGCAGTATCTGGCGGGCGAGCGATAACTCATTCGGAAGGTGGCTTGATGCTGCGGCTGCCTCGGGAGCGATTGATACGAACGTCTGCAGCGCAGCGGGCGCAACGGCACGTTTCATCTCTGTCGTTACGGCGACTGTCGTCATACTGGAGGCTGGGCGCGGAGAAGTGCTGGGGGACTATTGGTGGTGCAAGGTTTCGCACGTCGACGAAGCTACTCGGTTGTGGAAGGAGCGAAGATCTCAAAAAACACCCCGCCAGTCACGCGAAGGCTGCCGAGCGACTATGGGAAGGGGCGACGCGGCCTAGGCAGCAGACAGCGTCCATTCTTATAGCTTGTCCAGTTGGGTTATTTTCGCAGTTCAAGACTCCTTCGAAACTTCCAAGAAACATTCAATCATCTTTCCAAGGCCGTCGTCATGCTCGCAGCAATCTCCATCCCCACACTTCTGCTTCTGGCTAGCGTTGCCGTTGCCCAAGACGATACACCCTCAGTCGCGACCTCGCCATTCGTCAGTCCCACGCCCGAGTCTGAAGCACTGTATACTATTCAGACTCAGACCGCTACTGATGATGTCGACCCATGGTCGTGCTACATGGAGTGCGTTCAGCCTCCATGCCCGGCATGTATGTACATCCTCTTCGGCCTGTCGCGCAATATGTTAACAATGGTAGGCACCGGCAGCATGATGAGCGTTCCCCCGGTTTCTATGCCCAGTGTAACGGACGTGTCCGTCATCCCTCCGGTTTCCATGCCCACCGTGACGGACGTGTCAATTCCACCACAGTCTGGCATCTCCGTCGTCACAACGCCTGTTCCTATGCCCACTGTAACGGACGTATCAATCCCCCCTCAAGACTCCACTGGCGCCATGTCAATTCCTGAGGGCGAGACACCCATCTCTAGCGGCGCTGTTGACACGCCTTCTTCGAGCCTTGGCTCGGCCGCGAGTGCGACTAGCTCTGGTCTACCAGAGCAGACAGAAAACGCTGCCGCAGCGAGGGGTCGCGACATGCCCGTCGTTGTCGCTATTGCCGGCGCTCTGGCTTTCTTGTGAGTATCGAGTTGTGAGCGAGGGTGTCGGACTGTTCTTGTCAGTTGTTTGTTTTGTGTTGTCAATGCGACGGCTGCGTTGGGGCGCGTCGGAGCGACTCCGGCTGCCAATACTGCATGCACTCGAACGATGGTACCATTGTAGAAAGGTGTATTCGCAGTAAAACTCTGATGAATACGATACATAAACGAAGAAAAAAAACTACCCAAGACTCTAATGTATCTCGCAAGTCTAACCGTGACGCGCGGACTGCAGCGCCATTACGTGTGGCGAAGTACCTCTCGCGTATTCGTATAGCCACCTGGGCATCTAACGGTGGCTTATACGCGCTGCACGTCAGTGGGTCTGGGGTTGGCAGGAGCCGCGTCCACAACAATCTAGGCCGTCTCCTTCCCTCCACGCCAGCCCTAACACCATATAACCTTGGGTGCCCAGCACTCGCAACCATGCCGATTTTAAGACGGCTCCTGCTATTCTTCGAAGCTGGTTTCATACAAGCACCCCTATACTGGCCCAAGTGATAGCGAACAGAAAGCAGGGATCTCGCCAAGGCACTGTGACATTGCCAATCGAACCAGCGATCAACCACTTGGCTGACACGTCGAACCGTACACGCGCCTCAACGGGGCGAATCCCCTACAAAAGAAGCGCGAGCGTACACTTCACTCACCAGCCATGGCTTCCCCGAATAGCAACGTACCAACGCCAGTGCCGTTCCCGCAGCCTGAGGGCATTCGCAACCCCAATGCAGCGAGCCCTACCGCAGAGTCGCCCAAGACTCGCGAACGAACTTCCACCAATGCCTCCATCGTCTCCAACAAGATCCGTACCGCGACTGGTAAATTGATGGACGTGAACCCGCCGCCCGGCATGTGGGCTGCCGCAGGGACGACTGCCGCCAAAGCACCTTCGATAACGGACATTAGAAAAGGCTCATTTGGTTCTGACGGATGGAACGAAGACTCGCAACGGAAGAGAGCAGGTTCACGAACGAGCCAGGGCGAGCAGCGGTCGCGCGCTTCCACCAACGCGGCATCACCGATAGATCAATCTGAGCGTCCGTCCTTCGGTGCTCAGCGCAAGGTCTCGTCAAGCAATGCACTGAACACCGAACCCTTTCCTGCTCTGGCTGAGGAGGATACACGACAAGTTGCGGGGTACGATGGCCACGACGAGCGCCCCAATACCGGCATACAATCAAAGCATGATTCCGAATCCGCGACAGAGCACCTTGACGACGATAGGCCGCAGCAGCCAAAACGGACATCCTCAGGACGGGTACGTCTTCTCCTCCACCGTCCAGACAAACATGCTAATCATGGTGCAGTATGCCAACGGCTACGTACCACCTCCCAAGTTACCATGGAAGAAGTCGTTCATGATCGGGCTTAAAGGCTTTTGGAGGTGGTTCCTCACACCCGCCGGCTTCCTCATCACGCTCTACGGCCTGAACGTCGTCGCCTGGGGTGGTATGCTCTTCCTCCTACTCTGTAACGCCGCACCCGCCATGTGTACACCTACCTGTGACGACATCAATTCCCCGCGACGGAAGTGGGTCGAGTACGATTCGCAAATCCTCAACGCACTTTTCTGCGTCACAGGGTTTGGTCTCGCGCCTTGGAGGTTCCGCGATCTATACTACTGGGCTTGTTGGAGAATCGGAGGATCAGCCCGCACGGAGACGGGCATCAGACGTCTTGCTGGCATACATCGGGGATGGTTTCGGCTTCCAGGTTCAGATCGGCTGCCTGACAAAGCAGGCGCAACCGTCGTCGATCCCGAAGATCCAGCTGTACCAATTCCCGTCCAGATGATCCCCGACCCACCGCCCACGGCGATTCGCGCCCCACCCACTAAGAGCTGGAAGATGGATTTCGTCATATGGATGAATGTATGGAATACTTTCTTCCAGGTGGTTCTATGCTTCTACATGTGGCACTATAATCGCATCGACCGGCCTTCCTGGGCTACTGGTCTGTTCGTGGCTCTGGGATGCGGAGTGGCGGGTGCTGCAGGCATCATGATGTGGCACGAGGGCAAAAACGTCAAGAAAGTCGAAGGTGTGCCCATGCGTAGGGATTATGGAGACCAGCGAGACGACGAAGAAGCGCAGAACATTCCACTCGTGACCACAGGAGTGGCGACGAAATCCTAAGGAATCTGCCCAGCGCCTTGTGTTGCGCAGTCAGGGATAATGAGAACGCTCATTGGAGCGGGACCCTCCCTTTCCTTCTTGGCGTTTGGTCTAGTTGTGGCGTTGCATTGAACACAACATAGACACATTTTTATGATCGATACCCCAACAGCCCGCGGGCAAGTACCACTTTTTAATAACGTACACATGACCTTTTCTGAGTCAACGGTTCTTTGTTCTTCTTTCATCACGTCAGCTTTCCGTCGCGCAAAGAAAGTGCCGGAAGTTCCCTCCGGACTTCGCCATAGATCAACCTTATGTGAGCCTCGTGCTGACAAGCTTGCCGAGCTCCCCGGATAGGCCGAGCTGCATGCTAAGCGTTCCCGAAGCAGATCCGTTGATCGAATGACGTATCAACGTCGTACTTTCTACGGACTGGTGACAGTTGCACGCGCTCTTGGTATTTATTTAGCCAAGGCCTTGTGATCGTGTTGTCTTTCGTATTTTGCATCTTCATCTACATCGTACCTACATTTATCTCCAGTCATACCTTCTTCCTCCAAACAAATAACATCATCAGCAAATACTCCGAGAGATTAAAAGACATGGCAGCGCAAGAGTATTATCTAGGTACAGCGGCTGCGCATGAACTGCCAGGTAGCCACCCGCCAAACCCATATCCACCGCAGCCACCAAAGCCGCCACAATACCAACAACCACCTGCGCAACCTCCACGACCACACGTTAGCAATCCTCCATATGCGAACACGCCACCTCCATCATACTCAGCATATCCTCAGCCGCCTCCGCAACAACCTCATGGCTATCCTCCTCAACAACAGCAACGCCAGTACTACCCAGAGAAGAAGAACGCCCACGCCATGACAGCGCCATACCCCCAAACACCACCAGCGGGCGGCTACTACCCACCCCAACGGCCGATGCACCAAAACAACGGCTACTTCGGCGCCCCTCTTCAACCCTACAGAAGCCACTCGCAACCCGCGCGCGTGCGCTTCGCAGATCAAGACTCCGACCGCAGCACAAGTCTAGGCTCCATGTCCGACTCTGACGATTACTCCCCACCCCGGCACAGCAGCAGCAGCAGGCATCATCGCCATCACAGCCACTCTACCCGCGACCGTTCCACCTCTCGCGACCGCGATCGCTCGCGCAACGAACGCAGACACAAGCCACGCAAATCACACTCGTTTGACAAGGCACATGAGGACAAGCACAAGAACAGAGACACGTTCCTCGGCGCTGGCGCAGGCACGATCATCGGGGATGTGATCTTCCCTGGTTTGGGCACAGCAGCCGGATTGGTGCTGGGTGGCTACGGCGGGAGGAAGTATGCCGATCAGAGGAGTAAAGGCGATTATGCGGGGAGCGAGAGGAGGAGTCATAGGGGGAGCCGGAGGGCGGGGGATGATGGATGGGATGAGAAGACGAAGACGTATCGGAAGGGTGCGGCTGTGAGGTGATCACATTTACGATCATGATTATGGTTTACTCATGCTCTCGATGATGTTACGATTTCTGTCCTTTCTAACTACGGTTTATGACGGGAATGACGTGGGATGATGAAGGAATGACCTGCTTTATACGCTGCTGGACAGCATGACTCTAGTTATTAGTATCAATATATTCTCAACTTCTCACAACACACCTTCCATGGCATGGTCGGCTTATGTCATGTGAATAAACATTATTGTAATTTGGCATGTTCGTCTTCGATCGCTCGAGGGCGATAGCGCTACATGTCCATCTACCTGTCCCTACATTTTCGGCGCACGTCTTCAATCGTCTTCACGATAGCGTTGCAGCCGTTTTCCTACTTCCGTCGCGCTCTCCATGATGTATGTCTTTGACCGGCCGTGCGGTAGCATTCCATCTTCCTCCCCAATAATGATACATGGATGTATGTCTTCAACCGAACTTGCGGTAGCATTCCATCCTAAGCCTCCAGTTATAAATACAAACAAAAACATAATGGGTGCACGTCTTCAACCGCGCGAAGCGGTAGCGTCACACCCTGATCTTGACATCCAATCAGAAGTCTTGGAAGAGACTTTCTAGTAGATGCCAGGCACGATCCTGTACGGGACAAGCTCGACGTAGCGGTCCCAATCCTTGCCGTACTTCCTTCGGCACTTCTCCTCATCGCGACGCTCACGGTGGATAAGCAGGATGGCAAAGTAGACCATGAAGAAGTAGGTGAAGATCATACCCCAGCCCTTGGCCTCACCAGGGACAGCGTACTTTCCGTAGCTGTTCTGGTAGAAGTAGGCATCGGTTTGAGCTGCTGTGATGGGAGACTGAGCCGCGTTCTTGATGAGGTAACCAGACATGGCAGTAGGTAGAACGTAACTCCAGCTCATGAACCAGTCGCCAAGGTAGTTGATGTGACGCGCCATACCCCACCAGCCACTGATCAGAAGCTTGGAACCTGCGGCTGTCTCGATGCACTTGAGGTGCTTGACACGCGGGTCGTTGGGGTCGGTCCTGAAACGGTTCTTCTCGTTGTTCACCGAGCGGAAGATGTAGTATCCAATACCCTGTACGGCCAGCACGCCAGCGATACCAACGGGACCGAGATCAACGGGATAGTTGGAGAGGTAGCGGGTTTGGATGGAGTAGGTGAAGGGCACCCAGACGAGATCACCGAAGGAAAGCATCATGCCAAAGCCGTCGGCGATGATGTCGATGGTGGTCAAAATAGCGGGCTCCATGAACAGCGCGTCGAATGTGTACACGGTGTGGGCGATGGTGACGAGAAGGATGCTGTCAGTGACGCGGCCGAAGTTGCGGTATTGCTGCATGATGAAGGCTAAGTCGAGGATGATCCATCCCAGCATTCCGGGGCGAAGCTCGCACCAAGCTTTGATGTCAACCTCTCCGAAGATGGGCATGTTGACACGAGGGTTCAGCTCGCGTCCGATAAACCAGTCGTAGAGCATGTTGCCGGTACGGCCACCGGCAGCAAGCTCGCGCATAGATGGATCCTTGGGATGCTTGACGCTGAAAGAAGCGACATAGCAATAAGTGGCCAAGAAGTAGGAAATGAGAATGTTGCTCGTCAGGATGCCAACGTAGTTGTCGGTGATAAAGGTCCAGACGGGGAACTCGGCACCCTGGGAGATGGTACCGGCAGCGAGAAGAGTCATGATGAAGAGGGCTGAGTTCCAGGCATTGAACCTGTACTTGAGCCTTCCGCCGCTCCTGAGCTCGGTACCCTCAACTTCCTGGCCAGGAAGGAATCGGTAGAGGAACAGACTCAGGAAATAATAGGCCAGGGTACCAAGGAAAGCCTGGGTGTTGAGTAGACCCGAGAAGCCAGTCCATCCTACCTCCTTCTTCAGCTGCTCGAGAGTGAAGCTGTAGGGGTGGAGAAGGACAGGCGCCGGGCATCCAGAGATGTCATTGCACAGAAACGTGAAGACGTACACCAAAACTGGAAGACCGAAAGAGATGATGAAAGCTCCGGGGCTGGAACGAGGTTAGCGTTGTGATCGTCAGGGCGCGCAAAAGTCGTGGATGGACGTACGGTCCTAGGAACTCATAGCCATGAGGCTCTTCAGCCAGCGACTTAGTCGCCTTGTCAGTCTTCGCTTTCGACATGTTTTCAATGCCGAATTGTCGCGTTCTCCAGCTCTTTCTGTTCCGGCTAGATCCGCCGAATGAGGGAGCTCGAGGAATAGGGGTCTGGTCGCGTCGTCACAACAAAGGTTCTTGTCGCAGTTGTCGTCTTCGCCGAGGGTGATTGTCGCGCCGCCTGAACCAAAGACAGCCACGGGTGCAGTGTCCTATATAGCAATGAATGAGGCTGGGCGCATCAGACGATGAAAGGGATCTCGGATTCCATTGCAGCCGTAATGACGCGCACACGCCATCTTGGCCGCGCTAACCGCTTTGGGCGCTACCGCCCGTCGTTACTGCCGCTGCAAGGCACTCGACATGGAAGGCGCGGCGCCGGAAGTCAACGTGTTGCGAAGATGGACAATCGTATCAGCTCCACCTTCACCGTCACCACGCCTCGACCCTCATAGTGCGTAGTGCGCCGATCAACTACGCGATGATATCCCTACTCTACTCGCTCCTGCTTCTGGCAGCGTCGGGCCCATTCGCAGCGGCCGCTTCGGACAAACAGCTCAAGCCATGTACCGTCATCTCACCCACGTCCGAGCGCTTCTTCGACCTGAACCCTATGCGCCGCCAGCCACCATCGGAGTCGGACGGCAAGAAAAGTAGCAAGAAGGAGGGCGAAGAAGGCAGCTGGCATGCCAAGGGCTACGATTACAATGCCAACTTCACAATCAACTTCTGTGGACCTGTAGTGGAGGAGCTGGACAAGGTGCAAGATCTAGACAAGGGCCTTTGGAAGAACGTCAGCGCATTCTACGAGAGGGGAGACAAGCAATGGGCTATTGGGTGAGTCTCACATCCTACAAGGTGGGAACAGATGGAGGGGTTCAAGTTGCTCGTTCACAACCAGGCAGAACAATCCATTGAGGCGCAATGCTGACACCTTGCGATTTCTAGTCTCGAGAACTCAGAACCCATCTTCCGCGGTCGCAAGCTCATTCTAAACTACACCGGAGGTTCGCTCTGCCCAGACCTGTCCTCGAAATCCAAGCGCGCGCTCGAACCCACCTCTCTTGACACCCGCGAGATCATTGATGGCGACGATGACGATGACAAGGATGACGGAGACAAAAAGAAAGGCTCAAAGAAGACTGAGCGCCGCAAGACTACCATCATCTCACTGCTCTGCGACTCGGACCCGCTTGCGAAGACCAGTGTATCCTTCGTCGCGGCAGTAGACGATTGCTCATACTTCTTCGAAGGCCGCTCGCCCTTCGCCTGCGGCGGCGTACACCAGGATACCCAAGCTCTAGGCCCCGGCGGCGTCTTCGGTGTCATCGTCATGATCGCCGTAGCCGTATACTTTGCTGGTGGTTGCGTCTACCAACGCACCGTCATGCACCAGCGCGGATGGAGACAGCTGCCCAACTACGCAATGTGGGCAGGCATCTGGCGCTTCTTCTCTGTAAGTCTACTCCGCTGTTGTCGTAGAAGGAGTAGTAGTAGCGCCCGGTGGTGATGACAGACGCTCGAATGTCTTGTTGGTGTTGCTGACATCGTGAAGGACATGTTCATCATTCTTACTTCGTCGTGTGCGCGCTTCATGCCTTCCCGCCGGGGCTACAGTCGCGTCTCGCTCGGCCAGGATAGCGGACGGAGGGGACGAAGGAATGAAGATGAGGATAGGTTAATAGACAACCTGGATGAGGAGTGGGACGATTAGATGTGGCAATACATTAGTATCGGGCATGGCATAACGACGCGGCGTTTACGGAGTTTGGTTAAGTCCAATAGACGCTCAGGAGCGCATGAACAAAAGACTTATTGACTCAGACATCTTCTTCTGGGGGAAAGTGAACACCCTAGAGCCTACGTTGACATTAGATCATCTACTTTGCGTGTTTTCATCTTGATGTAGGCTCCAGAGTGTCCGGCTTTCTTCGTATGAGATGCTGATACATTACCGATGGGTTCAATTTCACGAGTGCACGTTCATGGAGATGTTTTGAAGACTGCATTGGTAACGCACTGACACCAAGTATCCATGTCTCCACCCGGCCCAGAACTAAGTGGCTAAAGACACCATGTACACCGGAGAAGTACCGACTGAAATTGCAAGAAAGGTCGCTCGTTCCTCTCGTATTATCACCGAAATAGACCAGTTCCTCTCGTATGTGCTCGCGAGTCAACTTAATCAGGCCCTTCATATCAACTGATTCGGGGAAGGAACCCTATTATTTTGAACGCCCGCTTGACGAATCGACTAACGCCTGGGGTATAAAGCAGCGAACCATGAAGCAATACGGATATCGACGGCTAAGATGATGCTGTGTCGTGAGCACACCTACATCTCCTCATCTACCACGTCGTCGACTCGGGCACGCCGGTCGACATGGTCGCCACCGTTCTTGGACATAGATGATTCAGTCTCCATCGGAGCTGCCTCATCAACGTCCTCCTCGACGGAGTCCTGTGCGGAATCAACGATGCTGCGGTCGTCCTCCACGTCAAAGTCCATCTGCTCTTCTCCCTCGGCTGTACTGTTTTCTGTATCTTTCTCTGCTAAGATGTCGCCGCGAGCGATGGGCTCAAATTGCGCATCGATACCTGCCAAAATCTCTCTGATTTCCGACCTCAGCTCCCTCTCTTCTTTTGATTGCAGATTAAGGGGCTGACAGCCAGCCGCGCCACCAAGCACTCGGGTATAGTCCCTATCCATCTGCACGAAAATCTCATCAACCTTGGTTTCCATTGACTCTTGTAGTGCTTTACACATGTCGTCAAGGTGCTTGTTGACTGTGGCGATGGCTTCATGGAACATTCTGTGTCGCTCCCGCTCCACATGATCTTCCATGTGTTGTTTCATGCGCTTGTAAGATCCAGCGCCACGCTCTTCTGTGCACACATCGTATACGTCATGCATGATGCCTGCGATACAAGGGCTGAAGTCACGGTTCGCTTCGCGCTGGAGTTCGTTCATTTGAGTGATGAGCGTAACCCCAAGATCCTTAAACAGCTGCTCGTAGTTGCAGACCTGTGTCTTTAAGATTGAGAGATTCGCCAGGCCAACGCCGCTGGTCCTCGCACGCTCTTCTATGGCTTCGTGAAACTTGTGAAGAAGCGTGCCTGAATTGCCGATATACGCATCGAATGCTTTTGGAAGGCGCGTCTGGAAGGCTCGCTCCCAACCCGTTGCTAGTTGCTTGATGATGGGATCCACAAGATCGGAGTTGAAGTCACGGTGGCCGGCCGCAGAAGAATGATAAACGCCGTCGCGTCGAACGACTGCCTTGTAGGATCCCCACGCGAGGCCACCTTGATCCTTGTAACCCCAAGCATGTGCTGTAGCTGGTGCAGATTCAATGGCCTTGTTGATGAGCTCTGGGCATTTGTCGAAGATTTGAGTCTTCATCTCAGATCGCATCTCTTTGATGCAAGCACCAATGGCTGCCTCTAATCCCTCCGTTAACTGAGTAAGCCGCCGCCCTAGGTAGCTGGCCTGCTTGCGCTTTTCCTCGTCCGTCATCTTCGAACCCGCCCCGTGGTTTGACATCCAGAGGTTGAAAGTGGTTAATATCTGGCAGACGCTGGTCAAGAACGCGCGGCTAGTTTGGATGCGTCCGCCTTCAGTAAGCTTCTTACAATGGTTCTGGAGTTGGGGCACTTCTGTCTCTTCGGGTGTTAGGAATCCGGGCACTTCATCGTCTTTTTGCATTCGGTCGCACATTTTCTGGTACGCGCGACTGCTGACGCAAAAGACTGGCAGAGACCTAGCAACCTGGCTGTAGTCGCGCATCTCCTCATCGGGGTTGAAGTTGTCTTCGTCTTCTTCGGCCGCGTTTTCCTGGTCGATTTCCTTGATGCCGGCAGCGAAATCCTGCTGAATAGCCGATTTGGAGTACTGGTTTCGGCCTGCAATACAGATGCGGCTGATCTCAGCTTTGATTTCGTCCTTCTTTCTTTCCAGTTCTCGAATTTGAGGTTTCAGGTCGTCGATAGAGTGCTTGATTGCTATCCCTTCTCGCCTAGCATTCTTCTTCGTTTCCCTTAGCTCCTTCAGTTTCTCTTTGATGTCAGTCTCGGATAGCCGCTTCCTCTCTTCCTGGAATGTGACTTCATCGTCGCTCCTAGACTCATCGGAATCGGAATCCTCAAAATCATCATCCGTATCGTCATCGAAAAGCTGTTTCCTTTTGCGTGCCTGCTTGTTCGAGACGGCCTTCTTACGTTTGTAAGTCTTGGGCTGGGGTGCGAACACAGATTTCCCGTCGTCCAGTTGCTCCTGGAGTGATTCCCACACCTCAATGTCATCACTTGCGCTCGACATCGCAAGCTTATAGACCTCTCGCGATTCGTTCAACTCTTGAATCTTGCTCCGAATCTGCTTTATCTGCTCATCGTGGCGTTCCTGTTCTTCTTCAAACGTTGCAACATTCTCTTCGAGCCCGAGACTGTCGATTGCTTCAGTGATAGAGATGTCATCTGTCTTAGAGCAGATGAATGTAACACTGGAGAAGCCGCCGTCGTATTTGAGCTGCCGTTTGAAAGAGTCTCCAAGCAAGGTTTTAGCGGCTTTGTCGTCCACAGCTCGATTGATAGGAGCAACGATCCAAAGACCAGTGCATTGCTTCATATAACCCTGAGCAACAGCAGCTCTCGCAGCGTTACTGTCATGAACACCCGGCAAATCCACAATGACTGCACCAGTCGAGAGCGCATGACTCTTCGTATAGATTTTGACGACCTTGATCAAGGGCCAGTACTCAGTTTGGAAAGCTGGCTTGGAGACCTTCTCCTTGTTCTTGTCCTTCTTGGCGACTTTCTCTTTACTATCCACGTAGCGTTGGAGCTCTCGATAGAAAGACTGCGGTCTAGCCGTGCGTATCTTTTTGGTAGTTCCAAGTACGTCGACAACGGATCGCTTGGACATGAGCGAAGGAATGGTGCAGTCACCTAAAGCATCTTTGGCGACCGACGGGTAGACGGAATGGAACTTTGCCCATGCAACACCGGCATCAGAATTGGGATCCTGCGCCTCGCGCGAGAGAGAACCATTCTCAGAAAGGAACTCGCGTAAAAGAACTGTGAGTTCCTTCTCCCAGTCCGCCTGGCTGATGAACTCAATCTCGGCGCAGTATTTAGAGCCTGGGTCGGTGCTGCTGTTCCACGAGATCTCGGTAACCACCGCAGTGCAAGCACGCATGCAATTGGTAGGTACGAGCCGCTCTTCGTCAAGCATAGCGTTGATGACGCTGCTCTTCCCAGCTCCAGTATTGCCCACTACGCCGACCACAGTGCGCTTTCGCTGCGCTTGGGGAATGAGCTTCTCAATGGCTTGTACCCATGCCGCAGCGTCCGCATTAGATAAAGAGTATTTTAGAAACTTGTCTTTAAGGCTTGCGAGAACTTTGAGCGATGTGGAAACGCCAGCCTCAAGGATGTCAGGGTCTCGTAGCTCAATGACTGAGCGAATGCATCGATCAACGGAGCCCAACTCTTCTTGGACATCTTGTTCCGGCGAGGCATCTCTGTTGAAAATCTTTTCCGGGTCAAAACTGCTTTCCGGCTCCATATGGCCATCTTGAGGAAGGGACGTATGTTGCAAAGGGATTGGCGACTGTCTCTCCTCCTTGACGGCGGAACAATTGTTCATTGGGTACATCGATGGTGCCGCAGGACGCGCATCAGTAGGTTCACGATGAGCAGCTTGCGCTGCACCCTCCGTAACTGAAGCAGCGGTTGGTCGAGGAATTGCCTGGCGGAAATTGTCCCCTGGAATTGACGGTGTGCTTAGTTCACTAGAAGAGCGCCATGGTAGCGGATGAGATCGGTTTGGCACAGAATATTGAACAGGAGACCGTGATTGAGACCACGGCGGATACCTATCTGAGTCGAGTGCAGGTGCGCGGCTACTCAAAGTACTGGTATGCCTCGAGGTCAACGGCGAAGCAAAGCTGGGATTATGTTGAGTTGCCGAATGGCCTGATGCACCGTGAGAGGAAATGGAGGCTGTCTCAGCACCATAGCGTAGTGGTTCTCTTCCCATTGTTCCAGGGTTGACATGGTTGTTTGCTGTTTGCTTAGCATCGTGACCAGACTCAATCTCCTGGTGCCGACGCGGGATCTCGGCTTGAATGAGCTCTTCCCTGAGCAATGGAGGGTCTTGTGTTTGATGTTGTACCGTTGCGTTGAGCGGGTCTACGGCATTAAAGACCACGACACTGTCTTCTGGCACTAAGAATGACTTGACGATATCGCTTTGGTCGACGACACAGCCTTTGTAACTAATGCGAACACCGATAAGATCATGCCGTTTCTCGTAAGTATCCTGAATCTTATTGATAGGAATTTTCTAGAAGCAGGTCAGCGGATGGGCGTGGTACTGCATCGGCGCATTCGAGGTGTATTCCGCGCGCATCGACGCCGCCAAAACATCGTTATCCCGGAACAGGGAAGGGTATAGAGCTTACATTGTGGCCTATCATCCATAAGAAATCGGTTTCCTTGAAGTCATCCTGCGTAGACTTGCGGTGATCGAGCACACCAATCCAGCACCGGCGTGCTTTGAGCTCCTGTTGTGGTACAACACGCTTGGCGCGTCGATGGAAGTCGTCCCAGTCCATTGCTAGGTTATGCTTATGAGTGAGATGCTGCGGCAATGTATTGATGTATGCAGAAGCTGATTTGACGCGTTAGGCGGGAGCTACCCACGGGTGCATGCAGCTTGCGAACTAGCGATGGCGGGGTTTGCAGGATGGTGTGACTGAGAGCATTGAAGCATTGGCCAGCTGTTCGTCGCTAGTGCGTGTAACGGTGAATGAGGAGATTGAATGTGTTGGATGTGACCAACGGTCCCTGAAGAGCAAACAGCGGGGCAAACGCGTCTGAACACGCTAAGACACGCCAGCACATGACGCCAAGCCTTTCGACGCGTCCCGATCTCGCTGCCGTCCTTTCGTCCGAAACTTCACTTTGTGATCATCATAACATCACAACATTCATCAGTCTTCAAAACCATTGCATTCTTTGAGCGCGGGCTTCGCTACTTCTAAAGTTCCTAGTATGCGCACGACGCTAATAGAGATTAATTCGATTGTTACCTCCACCTGCAGCTCGTTGCGATGACGCACTCCATTCACGACAAGAACGATAGTCTGTCACAAGTCTCATGCAGTAGCTCGAAGCTATTCGCAGCATTTTGCCAACTGGATCGTTTCCCTGGACATGCTGCGAAGATATGAAGGCGCCCCAGCCACCCACACGAGCTCGGAACGACAGCATTATTGTCCACGCATCTACCATAAAGCGCGCCAACTATTTCAATACGTTTAAAAGAATAGTTTCCGGCTGGTTCAGACACATGTGCTCACACGCAGAGTGGTCGTTATCACATTCACTTTTCGACTTACCTAAATGCCACTGTCCGAATTTTCTCCGAAGAATCGATCGCTGCACAATGCGTCCGATCACCACCCTGGTTCACAGTGGTTCAGTCTCTTTTACGATGACTTTCCCATGCTCAACACAATGTTCCTCGAACTTCTAGGAACCAAGTGTTGTTTCTGCATTGTTCTAGTTTGGCCACCCTCCTTCCTAGCTGACAGGCATGTCGTTCATTTGACTCACCGCTTTGTCTCATTATGTCGTGGTTGACTCTCCACAATGGTCATGCCTCCAACATGTATACTTCATTGGATTATGACGAGTACAGGTGTGCAAAAACCCTTTCTATATTCGCAAACGATGACGGAACAGACGCCGCTGCGACAGAAACGTGTCGCCCCAGAAGCCAACCCCGGTATCAACGGATTGATCGCAGCATGCAATAAAAACGACAGATTCAAACTTCTAGAAGACGAAAGTGTCCTGCCTGGAGACTTGCGCAATCCAATCCATCCGACGTTGCGTTGGTTTGAAAGTAACGGGCCTATGCGGCAGATGCTTCGGTTGGCATCACATTTTCTCAGCCATGACACCGTCCTCGCTTTCTTTGTACCGCTTCTATACGGACGCGACTTGATAGGCATAGTTAACGATGCAAAGAAGACTTACCTCTCAGACCCGCTCGCGAACGCGTCCGAAGAGAAACGCAGTCAGTATCTAGCCGGAGTGCGTGAGGCTTTGCATTGCCTTGGGCACAGCGTTTCCTTCCACTTCCTACCGTCTGCGAAGCGAGTATACGCCCGTTCACTGCGGGACAATGCGAGCCCACGCCATGTCGCGTCATGTTGTCCGGCATTCCAGCGCAAATTTTCTTGTAGGATCGAAATGGCGGACTGGTTGCGTAACTTTTATTCGACTGGTGAGTACGAAGCCGCGTCGCGATGTGCGCAGTTTCGGCACGATTTCCTTTTCGCTGCAACACTCGTACACGAGATTACCCATGCTGTGGGAATATTGCGACGGGGCAATACAAGGGAGCCGCACATCCGAGCTGACTGTCCAGAAGCTGAGTGGGGCTATGGCTGGGAACACTTCATGTTCGGCACCGTAATTAACCCTCAAGACTTGTCGGGACCAGGCACTCACCTTCTTATGCGTAAGATATGGGTAGATCGAAAGACGGCCAGCGAGACTGGAGGTAAGGAGTACTGCGATGTACCCATGTCTTACATAGCGCAATGGTTTCGGAACGACACATGGAGCATTGTAGCCAAGTATGGACCAACTGCCGTTGCGGCACCAATCGCTAATTTCAAGATACGGCTGTCGGACCAGCCTGGGGCCTGGGTAGTGTCAAGTGACCATCCAGAGATCGAGAGTGATCTGAGAACGCTGCAATCTCAATGGCGAAATCGCTCTTTGAGTCTAAGTCTACAAATAGGGTTGTCATCATCACCAGCTGCTCGTTCGCGTTTTGCCAAGATATTTTGGCACCGTGTAACTAAGGAACAGCTGCAGAAGAATAACGCGCCGGTTCCGCTACGCACTTCGATCATATCGCGGGCTGAGACAAGCCCCATGCCAAAGCTCACTCAGACCATACGAGCATGCTACAAGCCAACAAAAACACAGGCCCTTGCAGGATGTCGACCAGACTACTCTGATAGCTGCGATATGTCTCGAAAGCGGCGCGCAGAGCCACGAGACGAGTGCCGCCGCGTCAGCAAAGCAGTGAAGCGGTAAACTGTGGCTGCGACCCTAAAACCCCAGGACGAGCTTCAGAGGTCGTACTTATCCCACGGAAGTTGTAACATTAGGAACGATATAGCACAGTGTTGATACCGATTCCGGAACGAAGCAAAGATGCGGACTTACTGTCGCGCGCACACTCGCTGCGCGGTCTCAACTACATAGCTACTTCATGAGCTATGTAGCATATGACGAAGTCTCAGCCAACACAGTAATTAGGTATCAGGCTAGCAAACCGTAGTAGTCACCTGTAACGTCTCACCGGTGTGTCTCTCACTTCTTGAACGCTTGTTCTTCATACCAATATAAGAGCCTCAGCCCCAGCTCCTAACGTGCATTGTCCGTAGTGAACTATTCAACCCAAAGCCAAGAACATCAGCGTTTCAGATGCCTGTTAGTACGCCACTTCCCCCGCGGGAGGCATATCTTAATGACTTGATACCCGTCGCGATATGTTCCGCAGCAGATCCTTGCCACATTTGTTGGAATAGTTACACCAAAGATCACGAACCGGTTCTTCTGCGTCCTTGTGGGCACATTTTCGGTAAGCCATGCATACAGCAATGGTTCGAAGAAGGCGCAAACACATGTCCATTCGATAGAAACAAGCTTTTCATGTCAACAACGGATGCGGAAGAGACCGAAAGCTGGTCACTTGTTCCGTTCGGCGCTTTACGAGACCAGGGCGGCAGAGATGCGCCACGAAGTGATAGAAGAAGTGGAACAGCCAACAGAACGCATTCTGCACCGGAGCAGTATCTGTTCTTCGGTGGCGAGATCATTGGTATAAACAGTCGCCTAACACTCGAAGGCTGTCGTCGCGTCGTTCGCGATCTCTGGTATGTAAGCAACCATCTTTACCATCAGATTCGTAACCATGCCGATGATCACGACCCGCTATCCGTTAGCGATGACACCCTCAGAGAGTCGATACATGATGCGTTGCCTCGCGGTATCGACGTAGATGACCACGCTTGGCCGCTACTTTTCAGCATGGCAAGAACTATGGTCACGTCGCGGGGAATGGCCTGGGAACAGGGCTCGGAGGCGAATTTGCGTAGGGAAGATATGATGGGCTGGGGAGAGGAGCTCTGGCGCGTGTGTGGGGGTTTTCAGAACCGAGATTAGATAGAGATGCAGATAATGAGCTTCAGGCCGGCGAATATCCAGTGTGATGATAGTGGCTAGTCATATAATAGACGTCTGAGGGTTTCGCTTCTGAGGGTCTCATCTGCTCATATGTTGATAGTTCCAGGTTTGCGGGCACTCAGCGCGGCGGCGGGAAAGCTCGAACTAGGTAGCCAGGTACCAGCGGACCATCCCACGATCTCTTTGCACTCAACGAAGATGCCTGAAGAGTCACATTTACAGTACACTGCACCTGGTACTGGACGTGTTGTGCCGGATAATAAATGGCAAGTTCTTTGGCTCCCAAGGTGGTGACAAGTTTTGTGCCGTTCTGAAGTTTCCATCGAAGCTACGGAATTTCTAGAACACCACCACTGGGCACGGACTTCCACCCTCGCCGTCACCAACTCACTCCCCGCCTTTTGCTCTAAACTCCCCAGTTGCTCAAGATTCTCGAGTACTACCACCAAGTCTCATACAGTAGTCGCCTGGGTCCGATCCAACGACGTCCACTTGCACTTTTCGCACTGCGCAGGCGCACACGTGGGCCCGACGCCGGCCGCTACCCGGTCAAAATCCTCACCGCTGGCTTCACTTGGGTCGCGCGACAATAGCAAGGCTTGAATACTTACACCACTCGCACCTTATCTATTCAACTGTATTCACTCCACGGTCACCGTGGTCAGATAAGTCCGCAATAGCTCGGCTCCCACACACCCAACGCTGTTTCCCATCTTCCACCCAAACCAAAACAGCTTTCGTCAACACTACGACCATGGCGCCTACATACAGCATGCCATACAATCCCGCTGATTACGTCGCTTCCGAAGCACTACTTCCTGAGGAATTCTTCGGTTATGCCGACATCCCAACTCTAGTGAAGATTCACGAGGTTCTGTGCAATAGCGAAACACAGGATGACACCGAGCTCGCTACATGGATACAGGAAAGATACCTCAGCGCCCCCAGGAACGCGTCGTTGACAGAACCGATGCGTACCGCACAGGAATTCAGCAGATTGGACAGGGCTTACCGTAGGGTGCGGTCTCTCAGTGGCAAAACCCAGGACAAATGGCCAATCCTCGACTTACATTTCAAGGAGATGTCATCAGCTATGGTTCGAAATAACGCGCGCGGTGAAGCCGCTCCCGGAGTCATGTTCCCAATTGACGGATTGCAGAAGAAAGCTTGTCTAGCTGGGCAGCCGCCCCACGGGTTTGTCACACCTGATGGTAAGTAAGCTCTCGCCCAATCCTGCCTGCAGATACTGACTTCTGCCATTATAGCCTCCGTAGGACCAGAACTCCAAGTGCCGTTTGGTACACCCAAGCCTAGCCGGTACCAACCATACGTGCAGACTTACCCACGTCCGACACAGCAGACTCCTGTACCACTTCCATCCAACGTTACTTCCAAATCGTCTGGAGAGCCGAGCTTTGAGAGTCAGACCGTACCTTCCCATCGGTCTCAAAATTCTGCAGCTTCTTCACAGAGCAACCAGCAGGAGACACGTAAGTTACCACCGCCTGTTTTACCCAACCTTACTTGATTACCTCACTCCACCCCACATCTCAGGGCTCACTTTCGTTTCCGCTTCCTTCATTATGCTGACAAAAAACGCTAGATCTCGCCTCAAAATCGGATAGTCATGCAATGTCTCAGACCGAGCCACCCCCATCAGGCTTGCCTAAAACCGAGGAAGCTCTTGGCCAGACCTCACCTAACGACAAGAGTGGCGCTCTTCTATCAAATCCCATAGGCGGTACCGTATCGCGCAATATCAGCTCCAACCCCAGTGAGGATTTGCAGGCAGAGTCGGAAGTACGAGATGCGGGCGCGGGTAAGGTTCGCGGCCCAAATGGACGCTACCTACCCAAGGACGATGTCGAGCCCGAGACCAAAAAAGCTAAGAAGCCGAAGAAGGCAGTCAAGCCCCGTACGGGCTTGAGAAATATGAAGAAACAGGAATCACCTGCACCAAATACAGTCGGCGAAAAAACCGAGACCGCACCAGCCGAAGATGACGATCTGATGGCAGATGTCCAGCCGCCTTCGCCTCCAGTGTCTAGCCATGAGGCTGAGGAGATGAATGGAGTGGAAGATGTCACATCTGTCAATCTAGCTTCTGACATCGTCGTACCATCCACAACTGATCTGGCTACATCCCCTACAGCCGCAAACGAGCAAGAGGCCGAGATTGAGGAGGAAGTAGCGTCTGGCTCGGGATCTGCCTCTGCGTATCTTCTTGCAGCTGCGGCTGATCCAGTACCGTCAAATTTGGACAAGCTACCTCCTAACTCTAGGAAGTCCATCAAAAGAAAGAGTGAGCCAACTGCCACGTCTGGAGACCGTAAGCGGGGTAAACACGGCGGGATAGTCGGCCGCCCAAGGAAGTCCGAACAGCAAGGAAGCGACACATCAGATCAAGCGCCAGTTCAGCAAGAAGATGAGAACGTCACAAGGACAGAAGATCCACCTCAGATGGTAACGCGTCGAGCCACCCGACGCTCTGCAGCCGCAAACCTGAACGCTTCCGAAACCAACAAACCAGATGCGACGTCAACGGCAAACTCCCCTATAAAGGCACCAGTCGACCAGCCGCTCTCAACTTCGAAGAAGCCATCGAAATCCAAACGAAACCCAAGAAAATCATCCGCTCCCGACGAAGACGAGGTTATGAGTGGGACCGAAGATCGCGAAACGGCTAGTCGTGAGGAGACTCTTAAGCCTACTCCCATTGTTAGAGAAGCCAGCTCTACGCCTTCGTATGCTTTGGGAAGCGTTGCGCCCTCGCAGCTTCCGGATAATCATTTCTTGAGCATCGGTATTAGCAGAACCAGCTCCCCCGCCCTTCATCCTCAGCCGTCTTCGCACCAGCCCTATCAATCACCTTACCAGGCGGTGCCGCCAACGCCACCACCTACAGTTGTTGCAAAAACGCCCCTCATTAACGGCACAACATCTACTTATCCGCCAGGTCACGTGGAGTATTTCGCTCGTATCACTACAAGCAACGGCAGTACGATGGACTTACCGATCGAAGAGAGCCAAATCGAGAGAAAAGAGATGGAGACGATCAAGAGATATGCTGAGTATAACGCTGTACCCAACGCGGTGCCAGTATTGTATCCTCAGTTCCGGCAGATCTGGGCTTTTGCGAAACAGGGTTAATACGGAGAAGGGACACTACGGAAATCTTCAGGCTACACTGAACGCAGCGATTGTACGGATAGCATAGGCATGGAACTATTACAATAACAATGATCATCATTGATTCTCATGATATCCAATTTTCCTCATTCCCGGACTTCAATGGTGTCTCTCCTCTCTCTTAACCACTTTCCTGCCCCTGCCATCAACGTCTCCGCCTCTGCGGGCCCCTCCTATCGTACGGCTCAAACCTGCCATACCTTCCACCGCCGGTATAACTCCAACCACTGTCGCCACTGCCATGGAGTTGATTGTATCGTGTCTCGCCGCGACGGGCTCCGGGCTGGTGCGAATACATGCGGTCGGGGTAAAAGCCGCCACCGTTGTTTGCGTCTTGAAGCGAGTTCTGGTAGGGGTAGTACGCGCGGCCGCCTGGAAACATGATGTTGAGCGGGTTTTGGCGGATATGTGTGTGGTTTTTGGTGCTTAGACGTTTAGGGCTGGCTGCGGCTGCTTTGTGTATCAAGTGGAAGCTGAAAAGTACTAATGGTTGTTCTGTTAGATGCTGATGTGCTTGATATGATGGATGAGTAGAAATTAAAGGCAGAACCTCGAGGATTTATATACGAGGACTGGATTGATGAATAGTTGACTGCGACAGCCAGCCATGGACTCGATGCGTATTCTGTGTAACTTGATGTCCGGTGCGTGAGTTGGCACAGGTGTTGCCGAAAGTCTACAATGCCACAAATTGTATAGCGTGATCGTGGGTCGTGGGAATTTTGGTCGCTGTCCCGATATTATTGAATTCAGCGGCATCCGTGATGCCACCTCTCTTCACCTCGCGCTCCCTGGCAGTGCCTCAAGCCGACACCCCACCCCTTGCCACGTCCTTTCCTGGTAGACGTATGCTTAAACATACCCTCGAGTTGTGATGCACTGTAAAAGGCTTTCGTGTCGATGGACCGTTGGTGTAGAATGATTATCGCGACAGACTGATTTGAAGAGACGCGCCGCGATGGCGAACGGTATTTGGGTAGTTGATGTGGTGCGATAGTCCTTCCACTGTCGTCGCCCTCCGTAGACTCAATACTATCCATGCGAAGCAGAGAATTGCGTCGGATTTCATGCTCAATGACCCGTTGTCGAAACGTCTCGGAACCTCGATATTCTTCAAGCTGGCAATTGTTCGCCGACGCGTCGTCTACGTCATCGCTGAGCGCACCACGCGCCGTTTCCGTTAGTCTAGAGGCCACCAGCCACCACAATTTCCTCAGTACGTCAAACACTAGACAATGTCAACGGATTGCATGCGCGTCTTCGACATTTACGCCCCCTGGTCGCGAATCATGAGGATCGCAACATAGTGTCTAGAAACCGAGTCCAATGACGACAATCTGCAGGTCCGAGGTCTGCAGCTCTATGTCCCCTGGCTAGGGCTCTTGCAGCAGGCGGGAGACGGCAGCCGTACCGAAACGGATGACATCCGTACGAGCATGCCAATCAACGCATCGGTCGCGCGCACATTGAGCCATGCTCACGAAGAGTTTCGCTTATCGCGAACTTCTGCAAGATGCTGACATGCAGCGAGAATTTTCAACGGCGTGCAACTTTGGGCTTTGTGCCACGGTCGACATCAGCCTCCAGCGACGGTGACACCTTTTGCGACCGCTCATACTCTTCCTAGCACGAACAACAGTCAAAATGAGATGTCCGGGGATCTTGTTGGCGCTTGCGCTCCTTGTCGCTGGATCGGGCGCTGAGCCGATACCGCGGGCCGTGAAAGCACCCAGGGTTGATCTGGGCTACGCTGTCTATGAGGGGAGTTATGATGCCAATACCAGCATCAATATCTTCAAAAGGTACTTTTCCGTCTGAGATCTTCCCAATCCTCCAAAGGTTGACCTTGCGCGGCAGTGTTCGGTATGCAGCGCCGCCACTCGGAAAGCTGAGATTTGCAGCTCCTCAAGCCCCTGTGCGGAATAGAACGACAGCATCAGCTTTGAGCGATCCACCAGCTTGTCCGCAGACTGGCGCCTCTTCACAGACCCCAGCGGCTTATGGCTTCACCTCCGCGATCGGAAACGAGGATTGCTTGTTCTTGAATGTATACGCGCCGACTCACGCGAAGAACCTGCCTGTCTTCTTCTGGGTTCGTGAGTCACTTTCCAAGCAATACAAAAAACGTAGCGGACGTCGCTAACAGGATCAAGATGGTGGGGGGTACGGGCTATTCAGCGCCTCTGGGCTAGACCCCAGCGAATTTATGGCCACCAACAAGAATGGCTTCGTCAGCGTCATAATTCAATACCGCCTGGGCGCTTTCGGGTTTCTCTCGAGTCCAGAGGTGAAGCAGCATGGTGCGCTCAACGCTGGGCTCCTTGACATGAACTTTGCATTGAAGTGGGTCCAGGCTAACATTGCCAAATTTGGGGGCGATCCTAGTAAGGTCACTATTGCGGGCGAGAGCGCAGGCGCAGGCGCTGTTCTCTATCAATCTCAAGCCTATGGTGGGCGGCAAAAAGAAGACCTCTTTCGTAATGTCATTACAGCGAGTCCATGGGTACCCAATCAGCACGATTATGACGATGAACAACCCGCAGAAGCCTATGCGGCGTTCCTTGAAGCATCCGGCTGCTCAGAAACGAAGGAAAGCATGAAGTGCCTCCGCGCAGCGGATACTATCGTTCTTCAGAATGCCAGCGCCAGAATTTCGGAAGCTGGCCCTTTCGGTACCTTTGCTTTCCTGCCAGTAACAGACGGTACGTTTGTCCAGGACCGCCTCTCCACAACCCTTACTTCAAAGTCGCTAAAGGGAAGGCGTGTCTTATCGGGTAACATGGCAAACGAAGGAGTGCCACTCTCGCCTCCCACCGCACGCACGCTGCAGGATTTCCGAGACTACATTGATCTGACATTTCCCGACTTCTCTGCATCCGACAAAGACCGACTGGAAGAAACATACTCATTTCCAGGGGATGACCTTGAGGTGAAGCCCAATGCTACGCGCTTCGCTACATCTGGTACTGGTCTACCCACGGCACTCAACATGAGTGAATTTGGGACAGGAAATCAACAACGTCTCTTGAATGTTTTTGCAGAGTACGCCTTCGTCTGCCCGAGCTACTGGGCTGCTGAAGCTTTTACAGAAGGCTGGAAGTATCAGTTTAGTGCGCCTCCAAGTTATCATGGCTATGATCTGCAAGCGCTATGGAGCGGAACTCCAACGCCCGGCAAAAGCTTCAAGCACGCTTTCCGTAGGATTTGGGGCAATTTCATCACAAAGAACTCGCCGCTGATAAGCTTGGAAGACGCGAAGGGTGGTGTCGCAAACTCGACGATCTCGCCTGCAATTAAGTATGGTTCGAGTGACATCTCTTGGCCAAAGTGGAACAAAAACCAGCCGGTACTACTAAATATGAACGCTACAGGCGGCATCCCTTCCTTCGTGCAAGCGACAGACGATCTCTATTACTACGTTTATAGCGATCCGGGCGTCAGCAACCAGATCAGTTTGGCCGATGCAAATGCATGGGAGGGTGGAAGGGGCGGGCGATGTGAGTTTTGGAAAGCTATGGCAAGCAAAGTACCATATTGACAGGTGGAGACGTGTATGGGCTTGAATGTCTGAGGAGTGATGATTGTGAACTACGCTATATCGAAACTACAATCCCAGTCGCTTGTCCATCGCGGCCAAAGATATACCCAAGATTGACCCGCTCACACACCGTCGTTGAACTCGTAGTCTTTGTCCCATCGCTATGCTGGTTAACAACATGTACATGTATGTGTACATTGTACTTACAGTGTCCCATGGCTTGCTACCATCGACGAATCTCAGATCAGTACCAACTCTAATAACGTTATTTGGATCGTGATTCAATGTGGATGCGTGTATCTGACTACTGTTAGCCAGGATATACGTTAGCTCAAACCCAAGGGTACCTACCGCAAACGGGTTGTGGAGGACTACGTCGCCCGCTTCGTAGTTTGTCACCAACCAACGCCTGTCAAAGGTGTCAGAATACTCCCGTGGACCGTCAGCGAGGAGCCCTGTTGATAGCATGTTCTGGTTGAAAGCGTTCTTCGTTTCTTCGTCGCTCAGTCCACTTTCCGCTGCCTTTCGGTTGAAGTCTTCCTCTACTTCACGGCCAAGCGTATGACCTACCAGACTCGTTAACCTTGCTCGATATTTCATCACGAAGTAGAGGACTTACCTTTCTCCAAGTAAATCAAGCCTCCTCCAGTCAAGCTTACATCGCCCATGGGTACCCAGGCAGTGACACTCGTCGGTTCGCCATGCCGGAGGAAGATTTGATCATAATGTACGCCGATGGCCTTGTTTCCTGGTGTATTATTGCGCAATAAGCTTCTACGGACACCTAGAGTGCTGTCGCCCCAGTTTGTCATCCGGGCAATGAAGTCTTTCAGAGCAGGGTGCTTGCAAAACGCCTCTTTGTACCAATCTGCATAGTGCGCTTCGAGCGCCAGACTCACGAACTTCTCCGCTGTCGCTTCTCCCGGCTTTCCATTTCCAGGGGCCGCACCAGCGCCAATACCAGGGAAGTCTGCAGCGTCCTTCTCAGGATCGAATATGCCATCCACTGGCTGGGTTCCAGGTTTCAACACGCCGCTCGGTGCGAGCGACTTGAAGTACTCTTCGCGAGCTTTGAGGACATCGCTCCTCGGTAGTAAACCCTTGAGGAAGACATACCCATCTTCGTTGTAACGCCGACGCAGCTCTTCCATGGGCATTTCTGGAGATGACTCCTTCAACTTCCCGACTTGGCCTGGTCGGAGCAACCCGTCGTTCACGAAGAGCTTCTTGCCATCAAAGCTCGGCACGTCTAGCTCTGGTGATAGTGCATGGGGCATGATGAAGGATGTGATGAAGTAGCAATCGGCTTCGAATTGTCTGCACAGGGAGAGACAATATCTAGGTGTCCAGCTTGTTGTCAAAATCTTCCGGCAACGTAAATGTGGTGTCAACCTATCGCCACTGCCATATCTGTACACAACAGACGAGTGTGCCGGGGAGACTTACCTCTTTCGTCCCTGCCAAGATGTGGGGTAGGAAGCGGGGCTAGTCGCCGCTGTGACACGCTATCTGGATTTTCCGAAGTCGCGGACGCGATCGTCAAAGCCCAACTTTAGTAACCGGCGGAACATGGTTGGACACGACTCTGCTCATCTCGGCGGGCATTCCTCGTCCTGGACCCCTTTGTGCATCGTTATCGCGCGTGTCCCAGCTTCGTAAATTAGCCCGCACCCGGATCCTTCGCGATTCCACGACCACGTTAAGGTTTATCGCAAATGCCATGGTACGAGACTTCGCATCCTTTGCGCACGACCTGGACATCGCTTAACCGTTCGTAGCAATCGATGCCGCACGCGTCATTATCGATGTAAGCTGGAAGCCTCGAGCTAGTGGAGCTGGCATACTGATGACGTTGCAATAGGTGATGGCAAGCAGCCGGCATGTGCAAGGTGTGCGCAGGCGAAGAAAGAATGCGTCTACGAAAGCGGTAGACGGTTCCGGCGGTCGTCAATCTCGGATTCGTTTAGTGTTGAACAACCTTGGGTGTCGTACCCTCCGCGAAGTGAGCACTTACCCGAGGCTGTTGCATCTGTCGCTGACACGAGTTGGCAGTCCAATTCTTGGACGAATCGAGCGAAATTCGCTCTCAATATGTACAGGATGGCTACTCTCCGTTCGACAGCCCTTCAGTTCATGCGCCATCACCCAGCTGCACCCCTGGAAGTGCGCCGGGTACTGCTTTGACTCCAAACTCAACCTTGTTCACCCCTACGGAAAACCTCACAGTTCTGTCTTTACTGAACTCAGAATCTCCTGTGCAACACCAAGCACCTGCGCCTCCAGCATTACACGGCCACCGAGCAAACACGAGCACATACCAGCCACATCAGGAAGAGGGAGTTAGTACCTTTGTGTATCAACAGCCTCCCGGTGAACCTGTGCTATGGCCGTTAGAGCATGAGCAAGAGGCAATGCTGCTGCAGCACTACATCGAGAATGTCGCCTTATTCGTGAGTACCTTCATCCAGAGAAAGGGCCTTTTACTGACGAACATAAGTTCGACATGGTCGACACCAGAGATCACTTTGGGGTTCACATCGTCCAGATGGCCAAGCAGAATAGTACCCTGATGTATGTAGTGTGTCTACTGCGGATATATGTTGGCAATCGACTGACCACCAATCTCATCCAGGAACGCCATTCTTGCGCTATCTGCTCGTCAGCTTAGTCGCACCACCGATTTCGACCCTTACATCGCAGATGCCTATTATCAGCGATGCTTTGACACGCTGATTCCAGCACTGAACGACAACGTCACCATCAAAGAAGAGCCATTACTTGCTGCGACCGTCATCCTGCGACTCTTGGAAGAGATGAACATCTCAATTATCGGCTCCGATCCCCAAGGCCATCTGTTCGGCACCCAAGCTATAATTCGCGCTGCTGAACAGTCATACGCTGCAACGTCTGGCCCTGATCGGCGGCAGGCTATCTACTGGGCTGCTTTCCGTCAGGAACTGTGGATCTCACTCATGACGCAACGCGCGTTCAAATTACACATCTTCCCCGCCGATCGCTCACTCGAGCCGGCTAATGACTCTATTTGGGCTACACGAACGATTGCTCACCTCGGCGACGTGAGCAACTTCGTATTTGGGGAAGGTAGAAACAGCATTGCTCGCTACAACCAACTGATGGATGAGAACAGATCCTGGACACAGTGTAGGCCTGACAGCTTCGACCCATACTATTTCCGTCAAGATCGAGATGGTAGCGGGAGAAACTTCCCGGACATTCGCTTCCACCAAAAGACCCACGTTATGGGCACCCAGTATAATCTCTTAGCTCATATGCTGCTGATTGTACATGATCCGACGATTCCGCAACTCGGACCAGCACACAAAGCATCACGCGCTATTGTGGATAGAACCGTGCAAGACAACGTCCGCACACTGTGCGGAGTGGCCCAATCGAACTCCAAATGGTTTCCTTGCAAGTTTGTTGCCTGCTTCGCGATCGCATTAGGTAAGTTCGTTCCGATCCCATTACGCGACTATGACGAGGAGTAGTCGCGTGTAACATTTATATTGCTTCTATATCTAACATTTCCAGTCGGCGATCGCTTCACGATTCGTGAGGATCAAGAACAGCTTCGCGATCTATGGTATGCCTGTGAACGATCGCATGGCTTTCCTCCCACAGCGACCATCAACCAACTCGAAGAGTCGTGGGGTTGGCACAACTCCTGAAATACATGATGCGGCTATCTCCGATGGCTCCAGCTACCTCATCATGTCTCTGAACTCATCATAAACCCTGGTTGAAAGCATTCATGCGCCTCGGGTCGAAATTACCGGGCATATAAGGACCAAATCCCATTCCGGAGTTGATCTGGTCCAGCTCATCTTCATCGAATCCCGCTCCATAGAACGGCATCGGGTTGCCATGGTCACCTCCATGTCCGGGACGAGCCGGGCCCTCCCACTTCGTGAAATGATGCTTTGGTCTGCGATGTTCCGCTGGCGGCTTCCCTTTGTCGTGCTCTTCGGCTAGATCGTAGACTCTATGCAGTCGTTTGTCGACAGGAAGTCGTTCCCTGATTCTCGCATATTCAGCCTTGATGTTCATCAACAGGGGATATATGCGCACCCGCTCTACAAAGTCTTGCTCTAGAGCTTTCTTCAGTATGCTACTGAGTTCTCTGGTATAGCTGGAGCCTGCCGGTTGTTCTTTGTCCCATCTTTGACCATGGGGGAACTCTTTGCTTCGCGGGCCTACGATTCCGGTACATGCGCAGACCATACTCAAGCCTAGTTGCCAGACATCTGAAGCGCCGCTGAAGAGTGGAAATTCTGGAGCGTCGAACCCAGGCGTCCCCCCTGGTTCCATTATAGCGCGTTCTATACTACGCTCAAGCGACAGATAGTCTTCAGTTACTGCTAATCCAAAGTCGGCAAGCTTCGCTATAACTGTATCACCTTCCATCGTCAGTAGGATGTTCGCAGGCTTGATGTCGCGATGATATATTTTACTCCAACCGGACTGGAATATATCGTCATCGGTCATATTTGGCTGCGGGCCACGGTGACAGTACGTAAGGGCAGAAGATAGTTCAAAGAACCATCTCCATATCTTATGTTCGTTGACGTGGGCGCCCATAGCAACATTGAGCGCGACGTCTGCCAGGTTACCTACCGTACAATACTCCAGATACACAGCTCCGTCTGGTTTGCGCTTATCGAAAAAGTGGTCCACCATCTTAGTAATATTCTCGTGGTCCTGGACCTGGTGCAAAATCTGGATTTCTTTGCGCGGTACATCGTTCTCGAACGCGTCTTTATTGAAGCGCTTCTCAATGAATACCACACCCCGAGCTTTTGGATTACTACATTGGACTTTGCTTATGCCGCCGTTCAGACCTCCGCCCATGCTACCGAGCTTCTGGATTACTGTCCATTTCTCTCTCGGTTTTGGTTGATAGGTTACGGATAGCTTCTTGCAAATTTTGGGCATCGCAGTCCCAGGATACCGCCGTTAGTGTTGAATATTTAGGAGTGTGG